ATTAAAAATTTATTAAACAAAAATTATCTTTATAAATTATACTTTACAGAAAAAAAATTTGATGACTTATGTTTTTTTTTTTTTTACATTTGCTAGTGCTTTAACTCTTTAAAAAGGCTTCTCTGTCGCTACGCCTTTTTCTTTTTGAAGGGGGGAATATGTAAGATAAAAATGTATGAATCAGAATTATAACTATAAACATTAATTCTTCCTCTCTATTCTAAAATCGTAATAACTTATCTGCATTGCGTCATTCAAATTAATCATGCGATCTTACGTAACCGTTAATACCAGATGCCTCTTGACGACCAATCACCGAATTGTAAACCAAAACTTTTCTCTTCGCGTGCTTCCATCTTGCATAACTGCATAACTACGCACTTCAGCTTTTGCTCTCTACTGTGCTAAGATGTAATTTCGCTGGCTTGCTTTCTATCTCAACAATATCAAAAATGTAAATCTATTGTGGAAAGGCACGACTAGAGTGCCAAGTGATTGTGGCCACAAATATCAGTTGCAAATAAAAATGGAATTAAAACTGCCTCGACTGCCAAGTTCTTTATATATTACCAAGTTAGCATTACTAGCATACTGCGCAATCAAAATCTTCTTCAATATGGGTATAATCACGCATCTACAGTATTCCGTCAGTTCCTTGTGCTTTTACTATGACATTTCGTGGCTTTCCCCATGTGTAACGTGTATACGAGCCAGTTTCCCTTAGAAAGTCCACCACGAAGACATCCCTCTCCTTAGGCAGATAGCCCTCGTGTGATTTGCCATAATTAAATACACCAACACTATTTACTATGTCTACCTTTTAGAAAATATAAGTTGAAAAATAGCTGTTGATACAGTGCGCATTTTTCAATCGAAAATTCCACTTTAACCTGTGCTGTAACGTGACTGCACAACCAACCTCAAGTTCAGGAAATAACCCATGCTGTGATTTAAAAATTTATTCTCAGCTTTAAGGCTTATTGAAATTAAAAATCTTTTTAATAATATAAATCTAATCTAAATTACTAATCGAAAGTTGTTAAACATGAAACTTCATAATGCCACTGATAAATTTCTTTTCGAATTTAATCTATGCGTTTCACAAGTATCTATGAGTTCTGAAGAGTTAAGACTTTTCAATTTAACATGCTAGTAGCAACGATTATCCACAGTGATTATCAATAAATGCTTACCCTTGTGCATCGACCCAAATAAGGAAAATTTACTCTCAATGTGTGTGATTTCATCGTATATCTTCTTATCCACGTTTAATGCTACGAAATGTTGCACATTGTGTTCATTTTTAGCATTTTTCTCTTACCAGTATATTTTTGTTAACGTAAACATAATATACGTTTCTATTTACAAGAATATTTCCCGAATCATTCCGCCTGAGGAGCATTCCATGCGTTTCTCAACAATTATATAATTAATAAATACTTTTTATAAACCTAGTTTGTATGCATGAACCTTGTATTACCTAGTACGGTACTCTTTAGAAACCTCAAGGCACCTGATTTTGTTTTATTGCCACGTTATACATGGTTGAGGAAATGCTGGCTGCTGTTTTTATTTCCGCAAATGCTGATCCATGAATATGTGCTTCGATTACAAAGATTCTTAAAATAAAGCAGAGAATATTAAGAAAGAAGTTTCACCGCGTGGAGATATGGATCAGTCTGTAAATACAGAATCTAGCGTTTTATACTATCCCTCTAGAGTAAGTAATCCAGTTATTAAAATACTCATCATGCTCTAAAAATTATTGCGTTTGGTCAAATGGAAAGGTGATAAAGGAGCTAAAAATTTCACCCTTGGGAAATGCAATAGAGGATTGTTTTCGAACATTAAGATTTAATTACCAGAGTTAAGAGAAAGATTGCAATTCATGAAAACCCACAGAAAGGAGTGACTCCAGCGTGTAATAATGTGCTTGGTAAGTGCGCTTGAAAATGGTGTTTCAACTCCATATTAGAGGAAAATGGTAACTATATACAAAAAGCATTTCGCATAAAACTACACATAAACTAAACACCCATTTGCTTGAGGTTTGTGAAAACCTGTCGAACAATGCAAGATCCGACTAGTAAATTGTAATAGTTACACCTAGACGCATGGAATAAGTGTATGATTGCTGTAAGGTCGATGCAATTTCTTTGGTTGTAGCACCATTTTCAGGCAGCATAATCATCAGACAACGACTGGAGACCAAACAGTAAAACAGATCATACTACTTTCTACGGTCGCTATAGGCTGTTTGATATAATTAATCTATTTTTCCACCATAAGATTATGTAGAGACCAAGCTACTATTGGAAATCGAAAGATTATAGTTTAAAAGCATGAGGATTTTTAGCGATGCTTTAGCGATGTTCAAGCATTTCAGTTAGTCTGGAGAATCAGAAAAAGTATTTTTAATATGTATTTTCTCATTTTCGTTTGGCAACGTGAATAGTTATGTGATTTATGTTCACAGAAACTATGATAACTCTTGAATTTCCTTATAGAATCTTTAAATTTTGCATACATTCTTAAAATTCTTAAAAAAAATCTCAAAATTTTGCATACAGAGTTTGTATATTATTATGCATGTTATAAACTAAGATTTAAAACATCAGCCGTATAGAATTTAAAGTTTTCAATAGTGTATGCAATTTTCTTCAATAGTGTATGCACTTTTTTTAAATTTTTGTGTATATTGATTAACATATTTAGCCATACATTACTAGTGAATCAATATTTTCTAATTAGTCTAATTCATTGCATGATTATGGTTAATATATATAAAAGAAAGTCAAAAGTATCTTTTTATCATCATTTTCTTGACAGTGGTGGTTCATGTTTTAGTTAATTTCGATATGAAATTTTGAGTGTTTTCCATAAATTTCAGAACATAATGAATTTTTTAATCAGTTTTGTAGTGATTATATTGAGGAATTAGTGCAATTCAATAAAAAAATCTTATAAATTCAGAAATATAACAAACATTTTGAAAAAAGCCCTTCGAACAAGGTCGATTACCTTCTCGGTTAAAAGGGACATGCGTCTTCAGCAATTTTTAAGTATATTGCAATTTAAAAATACAAATATTAAATTATCTATTTGAAACTTAACCCAAAATGTGAAGTAGAATTTTGCCTTTCTGATGAACCTGCATTTATTAACGTAGGTTAAGGGGACTTGGTACCTGTTGAATATTTTTTTTTATTTAAGAACTTTATTTATTAGAGTGTTCTTAATAACTTTAAAGATCGAATTTGAAATTAATGAATTATTTTCAGAAAAAAAATAAAAAGCACATTTTTTATGTAAAAACTTTGAAATAAATATCATCTCAATCACTTTTTCACATCCAATAATTTTTCTTTTCACTATTTTGAAAAACCCATCCTAGTAATATTCTAGTTTAATAGTAATCCTATTAAATATCTAGTTTCTATTAAATATCTAGTTATCTAGTTTCTATTTTAATTTAGTATCCTAGTTTCTATTAAATATAAATATATAATTTAAACAAAAATTAAAAATATTAAATAATTTATTCCATAACTGAATAAGTTTTAGGACGTTAAGTAAAAGGATTTATTAAGAAATTCAGATTGAGAAAACTTAGTTTAAAGAATGCAAACTGTCTGAATGGTCATTAAATCATTTTAAATTTCTTAAGAATTTTATTAATGAATTTCAATACACATGTATATAAAATAAAACCTAGTACTATTCAATTGGTTAATAGAAACATAAACTACCTTTAACCTTGTCTGGCCTTAAAAACCTTATCTGGCCAGAAATATTGCAGAAAAATTATGAAATGCAAGTAGAATTTTTCTTTAACTGATTTGGTTTTTTAAAACACGTTGAAAAAATTAATAGATGAATTAATTATAATATATTCCCTAAAACACTTTTAAATACTACTGATAATATTAATTTGTGGTTTTATTCATTTTTTCAAAAAGCAAAATTTGAAATTTGAACAGACATAAAACATTTCATTTAAAACCACTCAGCAGCATATGTGATTTCTTCTCTTCTTTTAGCCATTTGTTCTCGTATATAAATTGCATTAAATTAATTTAGGTGTATTTTGAATAATTAAAGAGTTAAATGTTCCTTTGAGCACTACTGCAATAATGTGGGAGAAATGTAATTAAATTACGATAAGAACCTAATCACTTCGTTACGCCACCTTTTTCTGTTCGTGTCTTATCGTAAACAATATATCGTATATATATATATATATATATGATACATAAACCTGCCAATTTAAAGGTGAATTTTTTTTCAACTTCACTTTGTATTTACATAAATCAGTTTATACATATAAACAGAGTTTGCTGATAGTTGCAGTCATATTTAATTACATTCCTCTTCTTTTACACTGATTTTTAATAAGTTACGGAAACAATCAAGAAGTAAAAATAAAATAAACACTGAGGAACTGTAGAATTTCAAGGGCTATAAAAATTTTTAAAAACCTTTCTACAATGCTTATTATTGTTAGATCATTTCAAAATTTCTCTTCAGTGTAGTAAGGATATTAATGTATTGTTAACAAAACAAAATTAAAAATCGTTAATTTCATCGATTTTGGATATCAAGCTCGCTTAATTAATTGAAAAATTATTTGCAAATAAGTTATATCTTTACATTGGAAACGGCGGAGATATTTTGGTTTCAAAACTTATTTTCTAACACTGTCTAGTCACCCACCTAAGCGGTTTTAACATCCTATTTTGAGGTACTGGAAAGCGCGGAGAAAGGATTATTTTTTGAGGGAAAGGGGGCTTCTGTAGCGTCAAGGACGAAAGGGGTTGAATTGATTAACGAAAAAGTAGAAATTTTCGTAGTATTTTTTTCGTAGCGTGGGTGCGGAAAATTCTCTCTTCTTTAAGAGCATTATCTGGCATGTGGCAGCCTTGACTATTTAAAACGGGTTGCAGGCTGAACAGAGTTCTCTTTTTGCTTTTTCTTCGCCTGTGTATCGTGCTGACTTTGACCTGCCCGACTATCTCATCCTTAGTACCATCATTTTTCATTATCATCTAACCCTCCCCAGGCTGCTTTGCTGTGAATCTCCAAACCATGTATAAATGCAAGTCTTCTCAACTCTGGAACCTGCCAGACTATCTCATCCATAGTACCATCATTTTACTTTACTATCCGGTGAGATAAATTTATCAGTGGTGAGATAAGTATAATTTTTTTGCTATTCACACGATATCCCATTTGTAAGGAGAATTTCCTTTTGTTTTCAAGCATCCAATGTCTCTGAGTACTTTTCTTCATTTGAAGGTGTTCTATTAGTTAATACTCAAGGAAATACTAAATCTTAATAGCCTATAGGTACTTAAGGAAATACTAAATAGTCTATAACTTATTATTACTTAATATTTAAGGAAATACTAAACGTTTAATAGTCAATAATTACTTACTAAGTGTTTATAAACTTAATTACTTAATGCTTAAGGCAATAAAAAACGTCTAATAACGAATAATTACTTAATGCCTCATCTCTCGGGAGTTTATTTGGTTTAACATATTTTTTCCTTTTTTTTCTTTTTGTTTAAAAGAGTTATATCAAAAGAAAAAAAGCAACTAATCGTTTTAATGAATTAGTTACATTCTTGCTAACCAAGTTGTTCCCTACATGTATTTTTGTTTCAATTTCTTAGAACACAACGCGATGTTATTATTGGTGCATTTTTCAGTTTAAGTTAATATTTTGGGGACATTTTAAGTTGGTTAAGGTGTTTCAAAGGTTTATCTGAACTACTACATAACAATATTGGAGAACAATAGAGATTGAAATAAGAATAAAATTTCGAAAATAAACAGCAAAATTCCAACGTAATAACATTCAATTCTCCCTCGAGGAAATGTTGCTTAGTGAGAAGGAAAAATGCGCGAAACGTTCGCGGTCTGGGATTTATACCTACAATTCCACGAAAAATTATATTGTCGTATTATTACGTCGAAAAATTATGTTCATACAATATTCCGGGAATAGGTCATGTCTACAGAAACGATACAATAACAAAAATAGCTAGTATATAATTAAATAAGCACTTCATTAGGTATTTGTAACTGAAATTTGCATCTGAGTTTGCAAACGTAGTCACCATCATTATTTTATATCAAGATTAACATTTAATTCGACGGCGCTTTTTTACATTATAAAATAAATATAGAAATTTTCTTCGTTATGTAGCATATGGTTTAAAAAATGAATAGTTTCTTTTTGAAAATTTCTTGTCAACAGTGACAGGTCATGGAGAGGTTTCGAGAAACGGCTTTTCTCCTATTCTAGAAGTCTAGCAAACCTTATGGTAATCAGAAGTTCTGGCTTGGATTTTGGAATAGAGTTACTTAGCAATGTATTTTTGAGGAAACTTCTAACGAAATGTACCATAACAATTCTTTTAATTCAAATATAATCTGACATTGGTAAGAGAAATTAAAATATTAAAAAAGAAAAAATGAAATCAAAATTCGTGAACATATTCCTCAATTGCGGTAAAACTTGATATTATCATAATTTTAGAAAACCTCATAATTTTTTAAATTAATCGTAGAAATTAGATGTGTGGAAAATTTGCTGCTGTTTATAATTAATACGAAACAACCAAAGACAAATAATAATTATTACGAGAAGATTTTGGTATCTAATTATTTTTGGTAATCTAATATTAAAGAATAATAATATATAATATATAATAATAGCGAATAAAATGTATGAAAGCAGAATTAAAAACAGCTGGATAAAAGGTCTAAAACACCCTCTTAATTTAAAATAAATAGAAGATAGGAGATCAGCAAGCGATAGATTAAACCATCGTACTTGTTATTTATTTCTTTGTTTTCGAACTTTTTCAATTAAGACATTTACTTGCTTCACCACTTTGGAGCAAGACTTACCACTGTCATGTCTTAGAGCTCAAAGATATTTGCTTCTGTCACTGATGTCCGGTATTTTTATACTCTCAAACATTTTTCTTTATCGAACTAAATTCTATTGAACTGTTTGTCTTTCTGTATATATACTACTAAGTTATATTAATAAGATTATATGGTTATGTAGAATTGCGTCTAAGTACTTCTTCATCTAAGGCAAAAACGTAAATGCGTTTTACTATATATATGCATTGGTGCATTGGTTTATTTGAATCACGACAAAGTACACGAGGGCTGTCTGTGTTATTTATACATATATACAATACGGAGAATATAACAGCTCCATGAATAATTTTAGATGATGCGGTTTGGCACCCCTCCTTGTTTTTTACCTGAGGGAGGGCTGAGAAAAAGACGAGGCAAGTGCGTGGTTTAGCACCAGTCTGTTTCTCGCCTAAGGCAAGATTCTTGTCACGACAGTAATGTACGTTAAAAATAATGCTCGAGTTATCGAGTTAGAAGCTATTACAATACTTCAGCCTGCCTTCTGAGAGAAGCAGATAATCTCAAAAAGAATAGTTTGAAAAAAATAAAAGCCCGAGGGATGAGAAGAGAGTAGAGAAAAGTATTTTTCGAAGGCTTTAAAGGAACAGTAAATTTTATGCTGGAAGTACAGGCGGCCCTCTACTTTCGCACTTTCTACTTTAGTACAATTTACTATTTCGCACGTTTTTAAGAATTCAAATTTTTAATTTTCGATATTGCAAAAAAACTGTTTGCTTCCATGAATTCGCTCTCACTTAAGTTAAGAAGCGTGCTATATCACCGGTGTTATGAGGTTAGAAACACAATTACAATCAAGAAATAATCCGTGCGAGCACATCAGCAATAAATGTTAATGATCATATTAATGATACAAAGTTGTACGACATTTGAAACGTTATGGAGCAAGCATTTACTTAAAGCCTTCAGAAAGTAGAAAGGCAGGCTGTAGAACTGGTTACTGTGTTAGTATTTAAACATCAGTTCATTTTCCATTTCGTACCAGCAGCTCTGATAAACTGTTATAAAGATAAAAATTTACCATTTAAAGCATTATTGATCTTAGAAAGCAAGCCATGACACGCAAAATCTCTGCAGAATTTATACCCAGAAATCAGTGTTTCTTTTCTCCCAATAGTACCTGCCTCATTCAGTCCATGCATAAAACAGTGAGAGTTAAATGATAATATACGAGGACAACAATAAATCAGGCCATCATGATAACTAGCAGGGATGTGGTCTTACATTAAGAGAATTTTGGAAAACTATAACATATGTGACAAAATAAACAATACTGGAGACTAATGGGCTGAAATAAAGAGTAAATAAGTTTCTTAGAAACATTTATGCCCACAAAATATGAATTATTTTATAATTTCTGCACAAACTCCAGAAAATACCACAGATGAAATAGACAGCCTCTAATGAACGAACTAAACTTGGACGCCAACGACGAAGCTATTAATGAGCTCAGTGGAATGTCATGTTTGTCAAATGAATACCTAATTTTGCGACAAGAGCTAAATGAAATAGTGAAAGTGAAGAAAAAGAATCTGATGATTAATATTCAACTAACTCTTAATACGTTTATAAAGAAAACACCCTAAAACGTTTGAACAAGCCTCGATAACTTAATTGTATATATTGGTAAATAAATAACATTATTGATAAAATTTCAGACACTGTGCTGATCTTAAGTTGCTTACAGAAAACAATAATCTCAAAACTCGTGCTGCTGTTGCTGCAGAGACCATAACAAAAGACACGCTGTAGAAAGTAAAGCAATGTTATGATTATCGTTAATTCTCGCTTCGAAAAATTAAAAGAAGACACACATTGGGGGGAATACATGTGCAGTTATCCTTTCCTCTCATATAATGTTTATCGCTCTGTGGTCTTAAATTTTAAAGATAGTGATTACAAATTCGATCTATCATTTTGAATCAACTTATAGGATGAGAAGGTATTATAGAATGTCTTCCTATAATACCAGATCACGAACTAAATATAATATATAATTCAAAATTGCCTTAAATGCGAAAGAGTAAACATTCTGGCTGCTTTCATAAACAGATTCATGATATGTATGTTGTGATTGCATTCCAGTAGTACTTACTTTTAACAAAAAAAAAAAAAAAATTGTTTCACACGACTTGTAATTTCTCTAATCGAAACCACATTCATATATAACAATACTTTATAATATGAAACAGACAACTGTAAGATCAAACCTTCTTAGCTATCATGCAGTTAAAGTGATCTAACGAGGAAATCTGGCGAATTCTCACACAGGCGTGTATAATACCAGCACAGAAGAAGGCTAAAACAAACCCTTTATTATTCGTCAAACTCTTAACACAAATGCACGTACTTCGTGCTCAGAATAACACCAATGACTTGCGTTGGGAACTTAAGAATAATGTAACAATAAATTCAAAGATGAGTAGTAGCGCTGGACTAACAATTTTAGTTTAAGGCTAACTGACTCATAAACCTACCTGCGATAGACTTATTAAATGTCTAAAAGGCGTATCAGTAACTTAGGTAAACAGCAGCAAGGAAAAAAGAGTAACGTGCGCTGGCTAGCGAAATCACACTTTGAATAAACTTCTAGATTTGGCTTTATTTATACTCGCTTCACTTGACTTTAAATTTGCATCCTGGCAAGGGGAAAATGAGAAGCTTAAAAAAGATACTGTGAAGACATTAGGTTATTTCGAAACAGGAGACATGAAAAATGAGCAATGCCTACTCCGGGACTCGTACCTCTCGAATACGAGCCAAGTGTGATGACCATTACACCACGAAGACATGCTAAGAAGGCGTGAGAAATACTTATAATACCAAACTTAAAATAATTTGTTATGCACACTAAGAGAAACCGTACACGGTTATGAAGGTTTCGATTGGCTATTGACACGTCGTAAACAATTCAGCAGCTGCATTTCATGTCACGTTAACGCTATAGTGAATTACCAATTTAACTTCATTCATATAATTGGGGCTAATATTGATAAAATTAACTACCATCAACATAGACTAATTAAATTATTTGTCAGTGCTAATTAAAATTCCTTGTAGATCTCTAGGTCTAGCTTATAAAACGAATCTAATAAAGCAGATGTTCAGACTACAACAATTAAGGTCCCGTTACATCTTTTAAAACAAGTAGGAAATTTCAGTTTTTTATTCAGGCCGTTTTATGAAAACCTTCCCAGATCTTTTATGAA